AACAGGCTACATACTTTACAAAAGAAAGCCATTCGTCTATGCTCAAACTCCCATTATCTTGCCCATACCCCGCCGTTGTTTAAGAAACTGAATATGCTAAATTTCTCTGATAATATAACAATTAAAACAGGAGTTTTTATGTACCGTTATTCAAATTTTTTGTTACCACCCGTGTTTGATAATTACTTTGTTACAGTTGACAAGAAACATAATGTTAACACAACACAAAAAAATAACATTTTCTTGCCATATGCACGTTTAAAGTTACGAAAGGTAAATTCTATTCAACAAAAAGGGGGGAAATTATGGAATAATATTGAAAACTCTATCAAACATGTAACCACTCTTAGTTCTTTCAAGTCCAAATTTAAGTTGCGTCTTCTTACCACATATAATATGACTTCCTATGATTCTGTATTCTGTCGTTCTGTATTATTATTATTATTGTGTTTTAGTTTGTAATGTCCTGTGTACGTCTTGCATTTTGTTTTATTGTGAATTTTAATGTTTTGTATTTTCCACATCTGTCATTTATGTTATGGGTCCACCCACTTCTCTCAAGCCATCGGCTTTATCGGGTGTAAATGATCCAGCACAATTCTCAATGTATATATATTGTATGTGATTTTTTATGAAATAATAAATTGAAATTGAATTGAATTGAAGAGGCATCAGTTTGTGAGTCTTATCTCTGTTTATTATATCAACAGCCTGAGATGTCAACATCACAAATTGAATAAACCATAACAAGCAAAACATGTCAGTCTGAACATTCTTGTAGTAGTACAAACAGAATTACAAGCAAGAATACAAAATAAAGTCAAAGAAACACTATTTCTTCATGAACAGAATAAATGTGAGAACGCACACATGTAAACAAAAATAGCATTTCCAATCAAAATAATGATCAATACCTGCCAAGTTTACATCCAGGTATATACAACAACAAATCTTTATACGTTTTTAATACTTCGTCGGACTGGCGTAGGGTAGCGTATTGTTGCGTAGGCTTGGCGTACAGTTGCGTAGGCTTGGCGTACAGTTGCGTAGGCGTGGCGTACAGTTGCGTACGCTTGGCGTAAAGTTGCGTAGTTTCTGCGTAAAAAGTCTACGCCGAAGGTACGCGAAAAAAATTAAACATGTTTAATTTTTTGCGTTCATCTCGCGTACCCATTTGCGTCCCTCCGCTTACAGTTGCGTAGGGTTGCGTACGATCGGCGTAGGGTTGCGTACGATCGGCGTAGTCGCTACGCAACTCTACGCAACTCTACGCAAGGCCCGGTGTGAAAGCCCCTTTAAGCCCCTTTCACACCGGATATGCGTAGAGTTGCGTAGTGTTGCGTACCGACTACGCCGAAGTTAAGCTGCGTACTCATGAATAAATTGATGCTTCGGCGTAGTCCCTGCGTAGGTTATGCGTAGGCTTGCGTACGATCGGCGTATAGTTACGTACCCTGTGCGTAGGCACCGCGTACCTTCGGCGTAGGCAATTGGCGTAGGGTTACGTACGGTTGCGTAGGCCTGGCGTAGGGTTGCTTACGGTTGCGTAGGCCTGGCGTAGGGTTGCTTACGGTTGCGTACGGTTGTTTACTTTGGGAGAAAATGCCAAGTAAAAATGCAATAGACGCTCGTAGGAGCCGCGAGTATAGCTATTGGCGCTTTATAAACATATATAATAAAAATATATGTTAAAAAGACAGTTCAATTTATTGTATAAATGAACTGTGCAGTGTACAAAGAATTGTACATGTTATTACATGTGAAGATAACTTGATCTTAGTATAATCATAACATTCTGACAAACTGTGACATCCAAGGGGCAGTGGGTCTCTTTTGCATGTGTGAAATAGGACTGAAACGCCAATTTGCGTAAAATAGTGAGTGCAGAAAATAACATTTATAAACCTGCCATAAGTTTTACTAGTAAAAAGTGGCATTTGGTACACGTTTTTGACCGTTAAATTTTCAGTTTTTTTTAGTAGGTATTAGCAACTGCTGAGGTTATTTTGCAGTAATGTTAATTTGTTCAAGATTTTATTTTCCAAAAAATGCAGACATTTTTGTTGATGTACTACATTATTGTACTATGTATCATTGAAAAGGGTACTACATGAACTTTCTTTTGATAAACATTGCAAGGTCACGTGATGTGATTTGATAACTCAAAACGCCAACAAAAGAGAGCGCTTATTTTGATTTGTGAATAAATGTGGACAGAAGTCTGATATTTGTTGACCATATCTCTTTTTTTCACTCATTTGTAATATATCATTCCATAACAGTTTCCTGAAAGTTTGAAGACGATATCTGTTATCCTTGGTCCGTAGCGTATTTGTGTGTATCAATGTAATGATATAAATGTTAGTCATTTATTAAATTTAAAGAAATACTTTTGACATACACACTCACTCAGTCTCATTAACAGAGTGAGAAAAAAATATTTCTTTGCTCATTTCAATTAAACAAAATTATATTACAAACATACAAACAGGACCACAAACGTACACACAAGCAAACAAACCGACACAAATACATACAGATTTCCACAAAACATAATAAAATTTTCGCGTGAGGCATCAGCTTATGAATCTTATCTCTGTTTATTATATCAACAGCCTGAGATGTCAATTATCACAAATTTAATAAACCATAACAAAACAAAACATGTCAGTCTGAAATACCTTGTAGTGGTACAAACAGAATAACAAGCAAGAATGATCAATGATCAATATCTGCCAAGTTTACATCCAGGTTCCCAAAAAAATCTTTATGCCATACGTTTTTAATGCTTCGTCGGACTGGCGTAGGGTAGCGTATTGTTGCGTAGGCTTGGCGTACATTTGCGTAGGCTTGGCGTACAGTTGCGTAGGCTTGGCGTACAGTTGCGTAGTAAAGTCTACGCCGAAGGTACGCGAAAAAAATTAAACATGTTTAATTTTTTGCGTTCATCTCGCGTACCCATTCGCGTCCCTCCGCGTACAGTTGCGTAGGGTTGCGTACGATCGGCGTAGGGTTGCGTACGATCGGCGTAGGGTTGCGTACGATCGGCGTAGTCGCTACGCAACTCTACGCAACTCTACGCAACTCTACGCAAGGCCCGGTGTGAAAGCCCCTTTAGGGCCCCAATAATATGCAACTCTAGACAGTCGAGAGGAATGCTTTAAAGATATTTTGTCCCTTTTGCAGCCGACACCAAAGTATGTAGAACCAGGAAGCTGTAATGAATGGAGATCCCGTCCAAGAGGCCCCGTTGAAGTCATCCGTGACACCGCGCGTCTTTTGTTTCCCCTACCATAATCCCCTTAATCCCCCTCCGAAAACGCACAGCTCCCTAGTAGCACTAAGTCCTCCCTTTCCACACACAGCCGAGCCCAGCGAGCACGGCGGCTTTTGCTTTGCCGGTCCGTACTTGGGGGTGAATAGTGGTGATAACTTGACAACTTCTAGCCCTCAATCAATAAATGCGCAAACATATAATACAATTTCATTTAGTTCTTCACGAAGATAAACCTTTGGACTACCTTCCTAGCTATGCACAAATTTCGGAAATTTTCGGAAAATGTCAATAATTAGATGAGAAAATCATGATGATGAACACCTTTCATTTGCTCTAACTCACAATTTCCTTGGTTGATTTCGCTGGTTGAAATGGCTCAGTAGAGCTATCCGAGGACGGAAAAAGCAATTAATAACTAACCAAAATTGCATTAGTCATATGTTGTGAATTCTGTTTTTTTATATGTTATAACTAAATACATCTTCACTGAACATAACCTAATTTTTCGGTGCCACGCATGGCTTCAAAGCTCGATGCTTTTATATTTGTATTTGAAATACAAGTTTATGATTGCAATGAATAAAAAGGAGTTCGATATATCTAAAGTGAAACGAAAATAACTTTAATGAGTACGTTTTATGATCGAAAAAGAAAATAAGAATTTAATAATGTGAACACCACGCTTTGTGAAATATATTTTTTAATGTGAATGATCATTTCTCTCAAATTCAGGGATGCAAATATGACGTACAAATAACCCTTCTTCATTAAAAAAAAAAAAAAAAAAAAAGCTTTCGGGGTCAAATACAAAAAATGAATTATGCATACTACCCCCCCCCCCCACTGAGCGAAATGTTGGTAGGCTCGATTTTCACATTTTCGGGGTCATATACCAAAAAAATGATGCTCACTACCCCCCCCCCCCCCCCCCACTGAGTTCTATGGTACTGAGCTACTTTTCTATAATGATAGCAAGCTCTCGAGCTTTCGTGGGTTATCTTGTTCAAGCTGACTAAGCTCAAAAATCAAAAGAAATTGTTCGTTTTTTCATTGACGTAATGATGGTGCTCTCATTTGTATTATGATGTTGATAAGAACATGTTCTTTTTTTCTGCTAAGTGCACTGTCTGTTTACCATTGTTTGGCAATATTGAATGAGCTATAAATGGTTTCATATGAAATGGAAACATATCTTGCTGAAACGAATCTAAGTGGAAGACAATTCAGCAAGTTCGAGAAAATGTGTTTTTATTTCATCAGTTTTGTGTGTGTTTATGTTTATCCCTCATTAGAAAAATTACCATGGAAGCCATTGTAAAACTATGGTAAAAATGTGGTACCTTTGGTATTGATGTTGTTTAATTTCTTTTTAGAATCATCTTCTGTCATATAAATTCATAACAATTTGAATAGAACACAGAATATGACTGATTTCTTTTTCTATACATATTTGGCTTTTGCTTTACTTTTTTGAGGGCCGGGTTGGGGGGGGGGGGGGGAAGATGTCAATATAAAGTTCTGCATGACGTCAATCACATCATAAAGATATGGAGTGTATCATTATGTTTGATATTGTGTTATAAAAGAACCATGTACTAGAAGAGTAAACTAAATGAAAAAAATATAGATCTTAGAAATGATCCTTAAAAACTAATCATTTGCACATGTTGTCTTTTCAGAAATCTCTACTGTTTTTGCTGAGACAAGGTAAAAACGCTACAGAATGGATAAGATTTCGTTGATCTTTTTACTGGCAGCAGTCTTTTCTTTCGGTAAGATACTTCCACTCCTTGAAATAATTTTAACAGTTTTGGGTGCAATTCTCAAGTCACATTTGTTACTCTCCACAAGGCGCGGATACAGGGGGGGGGGGGGGGGGGGCAGCGGGCTCAAGGGGGGGGGGGCTGGGTGGGATGTGGGGTGTGGGGTGTTGAGCGAAATAGCGACCGGCACGATTTTCAAATTTCCGGGGGCAAAAAAGAAGAAAAAATAGTACTCACTACCCCCCCCCCCCACCAATCCAAATGAGCGAAATATCGGCCGGCACGATTTTCAAATTTCAACACACTAAATTTCAAACTGATTTCAAAGGTGGGCCTCCCCCCCCCCCCTCCCCCTAATAAATCCCGGATCCGCGCCTGCTCTCCACCAAGGTGTCAATGGGTAACTTGTAATTGCTTTTCTGGGTAAACAAAATTAGTATTATAATGATTTCTATTGATATCATTATCATTATTACTATTGTTATTATTACTCCCAGCTCATGTCGGCGAAGCTGCGACATCATGCTACCAATGTGTGTACATCACTGGCGGTGGAAATTCGAATGACGCGAGGTGCGTGGACCCATTTGACAGAAGCTCAGGAGTAACCAACGTCACCACTTGCGAAAATGGTTGTGTTGTAAGTCCAGTTTTTCTTTCTGTCCTCTATCCTTTTTTAAGGCCCGCTTTAATTTATTTTCATTTGTTATCTAACAATTTTTTTTATGAATTAATTAAGTTTTAAGCCTCTCTAGTGCCTGTTCAAATGCCATTTTATTTAACAAAAATGTGTGTTGAAATTTACCCAATAGCTCTTCTATGTAAATAAAAACAAAACATGGAACCTAGGCTCTCTTCATTTGTGAAAATCTAGGGATCAAGTATGTTTGGCCTTATCCGTTTATGATAAAGCTGATTCACTGTCATAAGTATGATTACACTATCACATGATTTTTTAGGGGGAAGGAATTGGATACGGTTGATTATAATGCTTATGTAGGCAATATAATGCAAGGTTTTGTTTTTAAAGGTTCAACATTAGAAAGAGTTCTTAACCTTCTGTAACCTGGCTAAATTCTTTGACTATATTCCTCCAAAGTGCGTTAATTTCAGCATCAGTTGAAGAAGAAGTGAACAGAAAGCCGTTTATGCCAAAAATTTGCAACTCCACTGCTATGCTACTGTCAAAGACGTACGAGAGGCTCGCGCTTCCCCCCGGGATTTTTAGAGTCTCGATTTTCGAGCAATCATCACATTATTTGGGCAACGACATATTAGGGTGCCTAAAATATCAGTTTAATTAAAGCACATTATTTGGGCAACAACATATTAGGGTGCCTAAAATATCAGTTTAATTAAAGCACATTATTTGGGCAACGACATATTAGGGTGCCTAAAATATCAGTTTAATTAAAGCACATTATTTGGGCAACGACATATTAGGGTGGCTAAAATATCAGTTTAAATGAAGATGCCCGAGTATACTATTTGTATACCCAAGCTTGTGAATTTTTATGATGAAATAACATTTCAAAATTATCAAAGTGTTCATTTTTGCTCGCTGGCGTCACTTGCTCACGAATTCATATAAAAAGGATGAACTTTGGCAACCAATACCAGAAAATCCCCCTATTCGGCCGGAGTATATTTTTATCTTTACTTCGATGAAGCGTCTCATGATTTATTTTTCTTCTCTCGCTCGCTTTGGACGGAGTACAATGACATAAAAATCACAATCCAAACGCGAGTTCTAAATGCAATATCAACATAACAAAAGTTGAAATGAATATGACTTTGAACAATTTGTGATGAGAATAGAGTTATTTTTTGTTATGCATTTGTATCTAATCCCCTCTCCCTCTCTCTCTCTCTTCCTCTCTCTCTCTCTTCTCCTCTCTCTCCCTTTGTTTTACACAATTACTTTGAGAATCCATCCAAGGGTCAGAATTTGTCCTGCCCCACGGTATGAAAGTGTGCAATTCAAAGGCTGATAATTAGAATGAATACTACCTTTTTTTTTTATTGGTCGTTGTCAGTTTGGTTTCAGTTTTTCTTGTGAGTGGCTTCTTACTTCTGTATCTAACTTTGTTTATTTGTTTTAATCGTTTTTATTACTCTATCTGACCTTTTTTTTTTAAACAGAAAACATCGTTACTCAACGATGGTGGCAGCGAGACCTGGGCCCGTGATTGCAATACATTACCATCATCTCAGTGTTATAACACATGTGTTAGTGCAGACGGTGTGACGGCCTGCGTACACTGCTGTACCGGCGATTTTTGTAATGGCGTCGGGGCTATCTACACCGTCAGTCTTCTAGCTACGATGTGCGGCAGCTTCCTAGCCGTCTTTGTCAGCCATTTCTGGTAGATGAGCAGTTGATCTTGAATCGAAGAGTGGGGGGGGGGGGGATTAATGTCACGGGACATTTAAACATAATAATAATAAATATAAAATAGAATATGTCCAGGGTGAAATTTTACAAAGGCGTTTGTGGTCAAAGACATAATGACCCGTATATTCTTCTAATTCATTTGAATAAAACCGACCCCGTGTCTACGATCATGTTTAACAAAAGGATAACTTAGACCTCAAAGTTCCTTTTATTTTATTTTTTAAATTACAAACCAATTTTAGGCAAACGCAGCGTCGGTTTAAAATTTTAGTAGAATACGGGCCATTTAGGATTAATATTTTAAGTTACTTTTAATTAGTTTGTGATTAACTGTTATTTCATTTATTCGTCCATTCATTAACATGAATGCAGCAGCTATTGTCTTCTTTGAGTGGTCTTGGCCCTAACAGATTGTGTTTGTTTGTGTGGGTAAGAACAGACACGGCCCCTTTGAGGGCAGTATATAGGCCTACTCGTTATTAAAATAGTCACCCTCTATGCAGAAGAGATAAAATAACAAATAGATAGATAACATTAGTAAATACTAACATAACATTTCCCCTTAAATTTTGTTTTGGACTTTTTGTTTTGTCTTGTTGCCAACCCCCACTCGCGTTTTAGTTGCTTTTATAATGAAATCCCAGCTCTTCACTTTTTACCTACTGACCAAAAATCCTATACCGAGGAGAGATAGTTCAACTGGGGATCAAATTTATATTTTTAATGTAAAACCTCTATAATTACTATACAATTTGAAGCGTTAAAAGGAAATGCATCCTTAATAGCAAATTACTCTAAAATATAGGAGGAAGATAAAAAAAGAAGACTGGTTAGAGTTTGTAGGGAATCGGACCAAAAATTAAAACGTTACGAAATTTTGAAAGCTGTGATCATTGTACACATTCAAGCTTCAAATTGGCAGTATCGTTAATGTCACTGTGATATAGTGCCGAAAAACATTCACATTTGTTCCATTAAAACAATGTATGACGGGGATGAGCTTTTCTCTTTAGAGGACCTACAATATTAAACTAACCATAATACTGATGTTATTGTAAGTCTATACAATTAATGTAAACGGGACGTGTGTGTATTGCGCCAATGATTCGGATGATCGTGTATAATCATGTCTACTTATTATGTCATTGTGCAACTTTTCTAAAAGTTTAAATATTATGCTTAGAATAGGTGAAATAGAGAGCAGCATCATGTAATATTCATTAAGATAAATTTGTATAATCAAGATCATGAGAAACGAAAAGTAAAATAAAATTCTTATCGCTATGATGTTACTATTCAAAGAATTGTTTGTAATTATGTAGTGTGTGCATTGGTATTTGGACTTCGTGGTTTGTAATGAAACATCCACTACAGTGGGTTCACAATTCACAGCGCCATCTAGCGACCACCAGTGTTTAGTTGTTTTTACGTGATTCGTTATGGGAAAAAGTCGACAACCAGTTCACGGTTGCAGTCTGAGCATGATGAGCAGATAAAGGTAATTGCAGAACAAATTTTGAAATACACGGAGACGAAATCCTGGTTACGTGCTCATGAAATTAGTTATGTCATCATTATTCATTCATGCACAAGCAGTGAACTGCATAATACACAGGTGGAAGTATTCTCTGAAAAGGGGAAGCAAAGGCTATTTTAATATTTATATATACTAAACACCTCCATCGCTGTTGTAGTGATTATTTCAAAATGTAGCAAGTGAGACCTCTTCATGTTTTGAAGATCTGTGGATATTCGGGGTCATTGCCGTAATGTGCTAATAGTCCGGCAGCCAAATGCAGATTATTGGCCTAACCTTGTTTTAGGGTCTATAGTTTTTTTTTCAATGGATTTTGATTGCCTAGACCTTCTTTTTCAAGAATCCGATTGCTGACACTCTGTCAGCCTTGAGCAATTTAAGATATATGACGTCATACAAAATGGCCGCCAAAGTACATGATTTTCCTTTAAAAATGAATAATAAATATATAATAAGGATTTTTCTACAATTTTTGGCAGCCAAATGTCTGTATTTCTCTAGGACCATCACTAAAAAAATGTTTTGTGATGTTGCATGGCCAAAGATGACCAGCTTATTTGCATATTTTGAAATAGCGCCCTCTATAAACATATTAATTTGAATAAAATATATGTGCCAGCCAAATGCCAATTTCTTAAATCTATGTCACGTTGAAATCATATTAAATGCTTTTTGGGGACAACAATTGCAGTTGTGCTGCATAATCTTTCATCGTGTTTGGTACAAATTTAGATAGGGTAGGTGTGGGGAATGGAAGACCCTTAAGCACATTTGCATAATTTACATAAACATGAACAATGTTACACATACAGACATTTTTGTATTCCCTTTAGTATTTTTTCTCTTTATTTTGTAACGAAATTATGGTCATGATGTAACTGATTAATAAGATAACAATGATTAATGACGTCATCACCAAAGGTCTCTCATTACCTACATGTGTAGGTAATAAGGGACAGTTACAAATCAAGACATTTTAAATACAATTTGAATGAAAATGGGATTGTTATAGTTAGTTCAAACATTTTTTGAAAGAGATATATGGAGCCAATGAACTTACTGAAATTTTGAAACGATTTCAAAACAATGTGGCCCAAAATATTTCTGTAGTTTTTGTTTACAGTAATAAAGGTGTTCTCAATTATGTTAAAATACTTTCAGAATAATGTTCTGGCAATATGACTTTTACATTGATCAAACTCACAGCATAGAAACAACTTCTTAAAATTGAATGCATTCAAATTAGAATGGTGACACGTACGACAAAATGTGTTTCATGATAGTGCCTTTCAACATGAAATGGACAACTGGGGAGAAGTAGGCCCCCATCTTGGACCTGGTGTCCCCAATAACCTACACACATTTCTGATCAGACACCATTCATAATGTGAATTGCAACACCCATTCACAACATACAATGGCCATAAGCTTTCTGTGATGGTTGGCACATTTCATAAACTTCCTTTTAAAACTAATTTTTAAGAGCCACCCCTAAATATCTGCATACACCACAACATTCAGTGAATATTGTGTTTTTATATCAGAGCAAATTTTTACGATCAAAATTGCTAATATCTTGGTCAATTTTGCCAATTTTCTCGGAGAGAGAACGCATTGTAGTCTTCGAAATGAATTGGATATATGCAGAAGTGTTGTTTAAGGCCACATTTGTCGCTATATCAATATTGGAGCCAACACGGACAGACAGTGATGGGTTCAAGCTTGGTGGTCTCCAATTCCCTACACCTACCCTACATATGTCAAGAAAAAAAATGGCTATGAAAGAATTCATTTTTCATCAAATCGGTGAGAAGTGGTTTTACGGCACACATTATTATTCAATTGATAGGCTTTATTTAGACCAGCATTGCTCCAACGTCAGTGAATGTGGATAAAGCAGTTGACATCTATACTAGACAGATGCATGAATTTCAAAAGATATTACCTGGTGGATTCTATGACACAATTTCCAAGAAAGTTCAAACCATGGCTGCCATGAAGAAGTCAATGTTGGGATACGAAAATCTATGAAAAGTTGATCTACTCCAGAGTAATAGGACTGCAGACAAGTTCAAGAGAGGTCAATATCAAGGACATTTTGTCATAAGAGCTTTCACCAGTCCCAACAGCACTTTTTGATGATTCTGGAAACGAGCACTCCCATGTCAAAGACGGACTTATAGAATTTGACAAAAGTTGAGATGTCAGCCAGGCATGAGACACTGGAACAACCTTGTACAGTCATTGATGGTTGTGCTCTGCTGTGGATGAAAATCTGATGATTTTTGCTTGGTGTTTGACAGATCCGAGAGTATCTAGAGGTCATAACGGGTCGAGAGTCTTCCAACTGAGTCCCGCGTCACTGCTGCCCTCCAAGAAACTATCTCTTACTATTCGTCGTCGTCGTCGTCGTCATATAGATCATGGCTCACCATTGTGACCCGTTTGATGAGACCTTTTGATCGGCATCTGTCTCCTGCAATCCGGTAGAGTGTCTTTAGTATTTAGAGGGTGGCTAGTGATTTCCCGAAGGTCGTCAGTCCATCTGAGCTTGAGTCTTCCTTTGTTACGTGTTCCTTCAAAGGTACCTTGAATGATAATTTGTCAAGGTTGTCTCCTGATCTTCTGCTAACGTGACCAAACTATTGTAGCTTGTACCGTCAATCCTGGTAGCAAGTGGCGGTTCATCTCCGATGATGGACATTAATTGTGTCCATTGGTGTTGTAATCTCTTCATGATATCCCAAGTAGCTTCCTCCAACACCACATTTCAAAGGCAGATATTGCCGAGCTTCCACCCTCCTTGACAATCATTGACCCAAGAACATTATATAAACTTGTCCACTTGATCAACTTCTTCTCCATCAACCACCATGCTCTGTTGCATGTAGTTAATTTCCACCAATCATGATCTAGGTCTTTTTCCCATTGAGGTAGGGTCCAAATTATTCACTTGCATCCTTCACTCTTTTTTAAAGAGTTCTAGTAGTTATTCTGATGTTCTTGTTATAAGTGTTGTCAGTGGCATACTGAGCAAAAACACTTAGAGGGGCAGAAAAACAATCTGCATCACCACCACTCATACATGTTACATGCAGGCCCCGCAGAACTTTTTTAAAATCGGGGTGGGGGGGGGGGGGGTGAAGTATTTACGATCAGGAAGAGAGGAGCGCAAATTGGCGTGGTGTTCAAGGGGCACAGCCCCTGGAAGCTCAAGGGTTTCAGGCATTTATTATCTGTAAGATGAACATATTTTGATACCTCATTTCACCTCGGGTCACTTTCTTTCTTTCTTTCTAGTTCTCTTCAACATACTTTATACAAAAAGTGAGGGGGCTCGAGTCCCCTGAGCCCCGCTGTTCTGCGGACCCTGACATGTAGGCTTTTAAATAAGCATATTTTTTGCTTGACTGTGAATTTAGGATTTGTCATTTTCCAACATACGCTTAACAAATAATAATTTACTAAAAAGTGAGAAAAAACCCAGGAAAATCATGTCATTTCAGCAACATTTGTAAATCACTGGTATCGAATATATAGAAAAAACAGTTTGAATTTTGTTTGGGGGTTTAACTGTCCCCAACCCCCCCCCCCCCAACCCTTCCCCATCAATACGCCAGAGAGTGTTGTATTGTCGGCGTATCTTAGGTTGGTGATCGTTCGTCCACCAACAGAAACTTGACCATAAAATGCCTTTCTCATAATGAATACAGCATAGATGGTGATAGGATGCAGCCTTGACGGACAACTTGACCAATAGTGAACCTTTCGGTGTAGCCATTCTCTGTTCTTACTGTTGCTTCTAGGTATTGGTAGAGCGACTGGATGAGTTGAATTATATATGCTGGAAAGCCCATCCAGCTCATAATCTTCCATAGGCGTTTATGTTGTACGCAGTCAAAAGCTTTGGAAAGATCAATAAAGCTAGGGAGAGAAGTTGTTGAAACGTGTCTCTAGTGTTGCTAACTTCACTATCTTTTCATGACAACAAACTAAAGTTGATCGACATCGTAATTATATGCGCGAGTCTGCAGGATGATTGGGTGCTCAGAAATAGGCAAAAGCACAAGCAGGCCTTTACCGTCAAGATGAGGTTCCTGTTGAAGTGATTCCAGGCAGTGATGTCATGGCAAGGAAAGGTCTGTCCACATCATAGTTATGATGAAGCAGGCAGCATCGAAGTACAGCAAGCGATTTGAATTGATGCTAATGAGAAGATGTATGTTAGGGTCCTAGTGGATGACACAGACGTCTAC